TGGATCAGTGTGCGACTGGATCAGTGTGCGACTGGATGAGTGTGCGACTGGATGAGTGTGCGACTGGATGAGTGTGCGACTGGATCAGTGTGCGACTGGATCAGTGTGTGACTGGATGAGTGTGTGACTGGATGAGTGTGCGACTGGATCAGTGTGCGACTGGATCAGTGTGCGACTGGATGAGTGTGCGACTGGATGAGTGTGCGACTGGATCAGTGTGCGACTGGATCAGTGTGCGACTGGATCAGTGCGCGACTGGATCAGTGTGCGACTGGATCAGTGTGCGACTGGATCAGTGTGCGACTGGATGACTGTGTGACTGGATGACTGTGCGACTGGATCAGTGTGCGACTGGATCAGTGTGTGACTGGATGAGTGTGCGACTGGATGAGTGTGCGACTGGATGAGTGTGCGACTGGATCAGTGTGCGACTGGATCAGTGTGCGACTGGATCAGTGTGTGACTGGATGACTGTGCGACTGGATCAGTGTGCGACTGGATCAGTGTGCGACTGGATCAGTGCGCGACTGGATGACTGTGTGACTGGATGAGTGTGCGACTGGATCAGTGTGCGACTGGATCAGTGTGCGACTGGATCAGTGTGTGACTGGATGACTGTGCGACTGGATCAGTGTGCGACTGGATCAGTGTGCGACTGGATGAGTGTGCGACTGGATGACTGTGCGACTGGATCAGTGTGCGACTGGATCAGTGTGCGACTGGATCAGTGTGCGACTGGATGACTGTGTGACTGGATGACTGTGCGACTGGATCAGTGTGCGACTGGATCAGTGTGCGACTGGATCAGTGTGCGACTGGATCAGTGTGTGACTGGATGAATGTGCGACTGGATGAGTGTGCGACTGGATCAGTGTGCGACTGGATGACTGTGTGACTGGATGAGTGTGTGACTGGATCAGTGCGCGACTGGATCAGTGTGCGACTGGATCAGTGTGTGACTGGATGAATGTGCGACTGGATGAGTGTGCGACTGGATCAGTGTGCGACTGGATGACTGTGTGACTGGATGAGTGTGTGACTGGATCAGTGCGCGACTGGATCAGTGTGAGAGAACGTAGGTATGGGGTGCTTGCGTGCGTTGAATAGCTTTTTAAAATGTAAAGTACTCTTTCGAACCATATGGTTAATTTGGGCAGGAAAAGTAGAGTTCACCTGTTTCAGTGACATCGGAACACGTAGTGATACACACAGACAAACACACGGACAAGATTGCAAAAAAAAAATTCCGACCCAGTAAGGTGTTGTCCGTCCAGATTTCTCAAAATCTGGATTTTAATTTTTCGCACAATATTTTTTTAACAATTCTTCATACAAGAAGGTAAAACTTCATCTCTCCATATATTAGTTTATAATCTATTGTCGCTGCCTTATGATCAGTTTGACATTTAAAATGGCGTACTGCACCATGTGGCACAACACATCACAAAGAAGTGTTGACATGCTATAGAGTATAGCAGGGGTCTCCAAACTACGGCCCGCGGGCCGGATGCGGCCCGTGAGGTCCTCTCATCCGGCCAGCGGAGATCTTTTTGTCCACAGAAAAATCGTTTGTTGGTGATGGCTGAGGAACTTTGCCCAGAAAAATCGCGACATGCCTGGAAGAAACTGGCCCCTGAACTGAAATTTGATAGTTAATGCGGCCCTCGGACTGAAAAGTTTGGACACCCCTGGAGTATAGAGTGACGCTGCACTCGACGCCAAGGTCGGGTCAAGGTGGCTGGTCTTAACGTCAACAGTTTTTATTTCCCCTGCAGAATGAATCATGAAGTGCTTGAATTTCTGAGTTGCTAAACATATCCATCGCCGAAATAAGTCTATACAAGTTTAACCAGAGGCGTAGCGATGGGGGTGGGGGGGCAGGGGGGTACATATGTTCCCGGGCGCCGACCTTAGGGGCGCCAAAATGGGTTGTAAAGACAAATTAAAATGTCATTTTAGCTTCATTTTTGCATTATAAATAGTTTGAGGGGAGTTGCAAATCGAAAGTTTGCTCTCGAGGGGGGCGCCAAATTAAAAGTTTGTCCCCGGGCGCCGGGAAGGGTCGCTACGCCTCTGAGTTCAACTAGAAAACTTGTTTTTTTGTGCTTTATGGTGTTGTCGATATCTTAAAATCTGACGTCTATGGCGAGAGGGATTTGAAAAAAATTGATAAGCCATACATGATATCCGCAGAGTTGATTCCATTATTAGCCTAAACACAAGATTGCATTGTACATGACTGACATAGATCAACCTGCTAGATTGCTATACACGTCGATATAAGCGAAGACAGAGAAATATTAAACATTGATTCTCTTTGTTCTTAATTCCACACAAAAATAGAACGGTCAGATGAATGAGAAGACACCGCTGTTGTTACGTTATACGGATCAGGGGTGGATCAGACATGTCCTGCTTTTGGCTTATGTATGTAATTAATTTACATATACATTTACATGTGTTATATGACTCAGTGAGATGGTGTTACACATGTGACCTCTAAGCTATACTATGAGATCATCGCAACAGCACACCTGCGTGTCACAAACAGTTTATCACGTGATCCAAGTTTGCACTTACAAGACCTTCAGCTGATACCGGTACAAACAAAAAATTACGTAAAAAAATATAAATAGAACATCTCGACAAAGATTTGGATTTAACCGGTAAACCACTAGAGCGTGAAACTGTTCTTGCATAACATAGCTTTGCTTTACCCAATGATTCTTCCAGACTTTTTTCTCCGGGTGGGGGCACTTTATATTTTCGGGGGGGGGGGGGGGGGGGGGACAACATTTTCCGGGGGAGGACACTGGTAAAAGTATATGTTTTCTATATAAATTACATTTCTTTCGGGGACGGTAGACTTTCTTCGGGGGGGGGGGGGGGGCGGACCACCGAAGAGATGCCTGGAAGAAACTCTGGCTTTACCTGCAAACACGCATTAACGGGGTTATGCACTGGACTACGTGCGACGTGCAGTTCCGGCAGGTGACCACTGGTCACGTGAGACAACAAACTTTCAATAGTTAAATGTGTTAACCGGCGATTGCTGCTGTCAAGTTGTACGGGTACCTACTCTTCAGCCCTACAGTAATAATAAAACACGTATAAAACCCTTTGTCATTACAAGCTTTTTAATGCACTGAAAACAAGAAAATATAAAACTGTCATTACAAGCTTTTAAATGCACTGAAAACAAGAAATAAAACTTTTTTTACGGAATAACTGATGTATTGTAAACATTTCATTAACGATCAACGCTTTGGGGTACTTTCAAGTAATTTGTTTTATTTTGTTATGGTTTTTTTTTTTCAAGTTTTTAAAAACATTTTTCTAATCGAATAATATTACTAACATATATAAACTAACCATTTCAATACGATGTGCGGGCCAGTAACTAACGGTAGTTGCTGTTTATCCGGTGTCCTTGACACGGGTTACACCTGACTGGGTACAGCTACAACACTGCCATCTGTCACGTGCTTCGCGCTCTACTTAATTTAAAAATGTACGCCCTCTCTCCCCCTACTGATCTACACATATATATATATATATATATATATATATATATATATATATATATATATATATATATATATATATATATATATATATACACTCACTCATACATACACACACACACACACTCAAAGAAGTTTTTGAGGTAAACGAAACCAAGTACTTGATTACTTAAGCATATCGAATTGCGAGGTGTCTTGCGCAAGGTTAAACTTGATCTCAGAATTATGTCAGGCACTGCCCCCCCCCCCACCCTCCTTGTACGAAATAGATTTTAAAAATATACATTTATATAGTAAATATTCACATTAACCAGTGTCCACCCCCCCCCCCCCCCAACTCGAAAATTTTAGTGCGCTCTTTACCGTAAACTTTCAAATTTCAACCCACTCCCTGGAAAAATAATGCCTGAAAGAAGCACTGTGGCTTTTTACATGCATATGGGGCACTTTCAAAACTAATCTAACAGTGATTTAAAAGTTAATGTATCCAATTATCACCAGCGGGTTTAATGCTAGATAACGCATTTAGTGTATGATATAATCCACATACATGTTCAACTGAGCTTACTCACAAACAGTACAATACAAACACAACTAACGCCTTTAGTGTATGATATAATTCAGATACTCATACAACTGAGCTTACGCTCCAACAGTACAATACAAACACAACTAACGCCTTTAGTGTATGATATAATCCAGATACTCGTACAACTGAGCTTACACTCCAACAGTACAATACAAACACAACTAACGCCTTTAGTGTATGATATAATCTAAATGAGCTTACTGTCAAACAGTACAATACAAACACAACTAACGCCTTTAGTGTATGATATAATCTAAATGAGCTTACTGTCAAACAGTACAATACAAACACAACTACCGCCATTAGTGTATGATATAATCCAGGTAATCATACAAATGAGCTTACTCTCAAACAGAAAAAACAACTGAATATGAAGTCGAGTGTGTAACAGTAATGTACACGCAACACCATAACACAACACACAATAAAGATTTTACAAACGATAAAATACAGTTACAGAATTTAGAATTAGGAATATCACACTGAAAATAAATAAATGTCACTCAAACTATTGCGTCACAGTAGAAACTATTAGCATAAGAGTATATGTACAAGAATAGGCTTACTTACAACGAGCCGGCCCGCGGCATAACATACGCCGCTATTTAGTTGTTTCTAATTTTCAATAATTCATAATTTGTGAATTCGACAGTACCAACGCTGACACTGAAAATATTTCTTTAAAACACTATAAGTAGCTCGTTAAGGACCATAACCCCCCCCCTTCCCCCCCCCCCCCCCCCCTACGTTTAAAATCGTTGGTTCTGCTTGTAAACATTTAGAGTGAACACAGCTCACTAAAACCATGTAGGGGTGGGGAGGTAGGGAGAGCGTTTGCAGCTTGTTTTCTAACGGCTCGAAGAGGAGAATTATATATATAGATATTTTAATATGGCGTCACAATAGCAGCTATCAGCATATAGAGCCACAAGTACACTATTTTAACGATACACTGCAGACAGCCAACACTATAAACAGACCAATTACCCGAGTTTAGTCCTCCCAAGTTTGAACTAAATATCTGAAGTCCTTCTTCCTCTTAAAAATTGTCTTTCTTCTATGTTCAATATTTTGGTTGGAAAAATCCAAAATGAAATACCCTTGCCGAGCTATTATTAGCTTTGTCTCATATGCAGGGAAGCCACTCTAAATGTCTTAATTTGTTTACATTATATACAAGCAATTTGGTCATCACTAGGGGGAGTCTCTTTAATTATTTCATAGGATAATATGATAAAATATTGATGACATTCTGGTTTACTTATTTATACATTTTAGCAACATCAGTAGACAGGCACTAGACTGGAAAGTAGGTAGGCCAAAAACCATGAAAAATGTCAGTTGTCAGTGAAACAGAAGCTGCCGGAATGACGTGGGTCCAACTTTAGAGAATCGTCATGAACCGAGTAGGATGGAAAGGTGTGGTTGCGTCCCTTTGCTCCACAAGCACTGACGATGATGTTGATATTTACATATTTACACATTTACATGTATACACATTTACATATTTACAGACTTAAATTGTGTAGTGTCAAATACACAGTCATACCGCTATTTCCTTCAGAACTCGATTTGTTGAGGCCAGTCACTAGTCCTTACTGTCACCTCATCAGAAGACCCATCTGACCCGGGGTCATACTTGCGGCCTTTAGCAAAGCCCCATGTCTGCTTACCGTCACTACTGCTGTCAGTAACGACTGACAATGGCGTTATGTACACGTCATCCTTGGAAAAGTCTGATCTAACTGATAGTGGGATCGAATCCTTGCTCCATCCAGCCTGGGCCGATTCTTTGAAGCTGTAATCTAAAGGCGGCCTCTGATTAAAAAATGTATTTGGAGTTAGAGAACTGTTGGGGTCTGTGAGTGACCCGTGGGGGACCCGACTTGACCTTGAGGGAACTCTGGGAACCAGGTACCCAGACTCGTCCACATCAGACCGCCCTCGTCTGGCAGACGACTCTCTCATAGCACACGCCGGCGTGAACACAACCTCTCTCGTCGTCATGCGGTCAAGGTCGTCCACCGTCTCGTAGATATGGCTGGAGGAGCTCACGTGCACCTGGACCCGCCCGCGTGAGTACTTGGTTAACCTCCTAACCACCAGAGAAAAGATGAGCACCAAGATGACGTTGATGAGAACGATCCCGAGCACCGTGGCCACTGTAACAAATGACGCGTCCATGCTGACACTGGAACTGGTCATTGTGGTTCCAGACACTCGGTCAGCAGACACCATGATGGTCAGTGTTGTGTTTAGGTACACGCACATTGATGCATACCCTGCTGAACATGTGCAGGTGGAGCCGTTGAAAATTAACGAACCGTTGACGGGTACCGCAATTGAGCTGAACCCGGAGGATGAGCTGAGAATAAGGGCGTCACTCGACCAGCAGATGACTTGTAGTGTAGTGATGGTAGGGTTATCTCCCATACATGTCACGGTGGTTACCTCCCCATACATTAGGTTTAAAACGTCATTTATGACAGAATTCCTCGCGTTTCTATACTTGGGTGACGCAGGTACACTGACTCTCATTGACTCCTCGATCGAATTCTTTCCAACCAGACATTTGACTTCTGCCATGGTGTTTCCTTTAGTTCGGTCGATGAAAAATTTAAAAGCTGACGTCACATCCGCTAATCCATCATTTTGTTTGACGTCATACTTACCTTCTTTAACCATATCGCCATTTAAAAACCAGACTAAGTCTGGTTTGGTTTTGAACCCGTGTGTTTTACAAACCATCACGACTGAGAAGCTATCGTTTCTGTCCGTACAATTCCTCTGCATCACATTAAGAGAGATGTATAAAGGGGGCATCACTTCGAATGTTTTGTTATGAGTTATATTAAATTGTAATGTAATTATCTCAGCGTATATAGATTGGATCCCAACCGTGAGATTTTTTAACACCGTATTACAGGTCGAATTTAGGAGTGAAATATTCCTGTAAACAAACCCAATTACATTTTTCGTTTCGGCGTTGTTTATCCAGTTATTGTTTTTATACTTGACTCTACATTCCTTGATAGACTGCAAAACCCAGCAAGTTAGGTTGACGCCCCCGTATCCTAGAATCTCCATTGAGCATCCGGACTGAGGCTGCCGTTGTACCTCACCTACCCGCGACACGCAAACGACTTCCTGCCTGCCTGACTTGATAAAGCTGAGCACACACTGCACCTGCCAGTGTGAGTAGCGTGGTGCCATGTTCTCGAACACCAGCCAGCTGTCGAAGTGGGATTCTGTCTCGTTTATCTCAGCGTGGATCTCCCCTCCACACTGTGACGTGTCGTAGTCCGTGCAGGGCTTGTAGTAGCTTCTCTCCCCTGTAGGCCGCACCAGGATCCAGCGCACGTTGCTTCTGAAACACGAACAGAGATAAGGGGAGTTACAACAGGGTGCGGACAAGACCGGGTAACACACCGCCTAGAGACGCCATTCAGCGTCACACGAACAAAGCAAATCGATAAACGCGTTATAAAGGGGTGCGGACAACACCAGGTAAAGCACCACCTAGAGACGCCAATAACTGTTATACGAACGACGCAAATCAATAACGTTACGAAATGACATAGGCGCAAACTAATGAGAGGTCGTTAAAAAACCAACCCAGACATATCACCCTCTAGTGTAGCAGTGGGTCTGGGTAGTGTACGATTACTGGACGTGTGTATATTAAGAGTACGTATCACACTGAAAAAATGTGACATTTTTTTCACTACACAGTGTGCTACAACTGCATTACAGAGGGGTGGAACAAGGGTATATGTTAACACAGGGATTGAGGAGCCTTGTGACTGAAGTGGCTTTGTATTGGGGTCTTATAATAGCGTTAAGAAACAAGAAGTATAAATCAGTCAAGGTCATCGTGAAACAAAAAAAAACAGGTTCAAGGTTGTCACAAGACAACTGGTAGTTATATTTTTTGGTTGTTTATCTCCACTGTACACGGGAAAACCAACTTAGTGGGAACATTTTTAAACAGTACTAAAACAATGCTAAGGCCTAGTATCTTGAATAAACTTTTCAACTAATATCTATAAAAGTATAAAGTTTCTTCACTATAATAAAGTCACATCAATATATCTTTAATTTTTTTATAAATTTGTAATGCAAATTTAACACAATAAGAGTTTCTTCCAGGCATCTTCCTCCCCCCCCCCCCCCCCCCCCCCCCCCGAACGAAATGAAATTTATATAATTTATATAGAAAATATATACTTTTAACAGTGTCCGCCCTCCCCCCCCCCCCCGAAAAAAGTCTACCGCCCCCCCCCCCCCCCCGAAAATTTCAAGTGCCCCCCCCCCCCCGGAGAAAAAAGTCTGGAAGAAACACTGAACACAATTCCTAATTTGCTCATTGATTAAACATCAAAACATGTTCCATCACGAAAAAAACAAACTTTTTTTTATATTTGTTTTTAAATTATTACTTTTTAAATACACTGAAAAAAAATTAAAAATATTTTGATTTGGTTTATAAAAGCATTGCGTTTTAAAATATGTGAAAGATCTCATGCGCGACCAATGCTTAAATTAAGAAAGCAAATTAGCTTTTTTTATTATTTTTTTCAGCGCATTAGAAAGCTCATTATTTTAAAAGTTTTTATATTTGTTTTGTTTTCCACTTTTTGCAATTCGTTCTAAATGAAGGAACCTTAGTATTTAATCCTGTTATCTCCCTGTTTATTGTTGAATTTAGTAATTTTCTAATCTAAATTTAATCACTAACCAAAGCTGTAATTAAGGGACGGGGTATTCTAATGGTTAAGCATTTGAATCCGGTTTCAGTAGAGTTCACCCAGCTCTGGTGGGTACCCAACTTATATTAGGGAAAGTAAAGACGACTGGGCATAGTGCTGACCACACTGTCCCTTCATATGCCGAGGTCACAGAAACAGGTGAACTCTACTTAATTTGCCTCTTGGGCTATCAGGTTCGAAATGGAAATTAACTTACTTTAAATGTTTAATTAAATTTAAAAGATATATATTCTAGTAGTGTCCCTGAGATGAATATATCTGGAAGTTTTGACGAAATTGCTGCAATAGATGTGGGTCAAAATTAAGTTATAACATTTGTCACATCTCACAAACAAACAAACAAAAAACAGACATTTTAACTAAATAAAAGCTTATATAAACAGCAAAATCTACAGGACAACAACAAAAATATGTTTATATCCAGGGGGACAGCAAAAACTAGTGGCGTAGCGAGGTCGGGTGTCACCCGGTGCGGCACCTGATGGTGTCACCCCCCCCCCCCCCGTAAGAATATATATATATATATATATATATATATATATATATATATATATATATATATATATATATATATATATATATATTATATATATATATTCCATATACACTTGTAAGTATGTGTATATCATGTGTATATGTATTCAATTTTTTTTTCTGCTGGATGTATTTAATATATTCAGTAAGACAACAAGAACAAAAACCAGTTCTACTCACTGTGAATTGTCCCCAGAACACATGTAGCTGTATCTCCCACCCTCAACCAAGCCGTACCCGACACCCATACTCGGCGAGCCACAGTCGGGGTAGGTACCTCCACTCCTTAACAACGTTAATTGAAAACAAACAAAAGTGAGCGAGAAAATCCTCAATTTGTCCTGTGCCATATTTTTACAGTTTCCAGCAAAATTCTTACTCCGAATGAAAATCACCAAATACTACTCCAATGGAAAATGGCGCCGTATTGAATGTGAATCAGAAATATGTTAATCTATTCATTGATCTTATTAAGTCTAATGATACATGTTTAAGAATTAAAAAAATTCACATATTCTGTATTCATAATAATATATAATGTAAAAATAGTAGCTTTTTTAATTGGTGTAGTGAATATTTTTTTTCAACTTGGTCTTTACAAAGAAATAAATGCTCAATCGATCAGACGCTGTCTCACTTGAGTAGCTAGAGATAGCTGTCGCAAAAATAACTTCCCGGAAATGTATGAATATCAAATTTTTTTCGCATTATTTCAGTTTCAGTTCTTGAGTAATTTCTCGGTAAACAGATTCAAAGAGAGGGGTGTGTGTGTTTGGAGGGGGGGGGGGGGGGGTTAACACCAGATACTAATTTTAAATTTTCTTGCACTAGTTCTTATTCTTGATCTATGCATAATTCTTGATGTGGTGCCTTGTTTACTTGTGTTGTTATAAATACAAGTAACAGAGCAGGCCTAATTTAAAGTTTATCGACAGTCTACGTCATGTTTTACCCGAATAACACAAGAAATATTGATGGATTTTCTTTCAATCGCGCACTTTCTATTTCAGGATTCACTGAACGATTTCTAATTCATTTTTCTTTTGACACAACCAAGAACACCGGATGGCGACAATATCGAATACTCTAGGCGATGTATTGTGATTGGTATCGGAGAGATGAAATCGGTCGATGTTTGGATACAAGTTGTGGGCTGGGGCGTTCTAAACTCGGGGAGTACCACACCTCCTACATGGGGGGGGCACTACCTTTATATTTACACACACATACACACATTCGTCGGGTGTTACTATGAGTAACATCGACCTAGTGCGATTCAGCCTTATATGGCGAGAGAGCTATACGTACAGTGGGTATAGGTAATAGACAGGTAAGAATCATATAGGTATATACTGCTATTTTACAGCTACACAGTTATCTGTAATGTCATCCTTAAATACCAACGTCCACTAACACACTCTAAATGTAAACACTACACACTCTAAATGTAAACACTACACACATCAAAATGTAAACACTAAACATCCTAAATGTAAACACTACACCAGAGGCGTAGCGACCCTTCCCGGCGCCCGGGGACAAACTTTAAATTTGGCGCCCACTTGGGAGCAAATTCTCAATTAGCACCCCCCCCCCGCCTCAAACTTTCGATTTGCACCCCCCCCCCTTAAACTTTCGATTTGCAACCCCCCCCCCCCCCATCTATAATGCAAAAATGCAGCTCAAATAACAATTTAATTTATTTTTACAACCTATTTTGGCATCCCCTAAGGTCGGCACCAGGGGACATATGTACCCCCCTGCCCACCCCCCCCCCCCCCCCCATCGCTACGTCTCTGCATTACACATCGAAATGTAAACAAAACACATCTTAAATGTAAACACTACACATCAAAATGTAAACACCGCACGTCCTAAATGAAAAAACTACACATCAAAATGTAAACACTACCCATCCAAAATGTAAACACTACACATCACAATGTAAACACTTCACATCAAAATGTAAACACTACACCACACAGTATGAGATGTCAACAAAGTCGATTGTATGGCTAATGTAAAGAATATCTGACTGCTTTACATCAAGTCGTCAAAGAAAAACAACCCAATAGTACACCAGGTTACAAAACATTACACATCTCCACAACAAATTGAAAAACTAGTAAGCACTCTAGTCAGCTGTATCTGTTTAGTGGAATCAAACGGAAAAACAAACCGAAAGTCACCTTTACTACAGTTGTAACGAGTATGTGGCTATAAACACGGCCATTTTGTTCTGTAACTAGGTCACCAATGGTAAACAAACATGTTACATAACCTTCTAGCTAAGGCATAGAAACGAACCCAAAAAAATTGTTTTAAAGCAGCGGTTCTAAAAATGTAAGTGTCTACATCACGCTTACATTTTTAAATAGTAATAACAAAATAAAGACATTAACTATTAACAAGTCGTTTTTTTTTTTGTAAAAAAAATACGATTTGATAAAAAAGAATTGTAGTGTGAATGTCATAGTATTAAAGCGGTAATGTTGGTATCCTCAACAATTAATTTATAGACCATTACAGGTAACTCGGTCTTTAATTTGTTAGGATAACAACAAGGTTAGTTTTTGAGGGGTATTTTTTAAAGTTGTTTTTTTTTTTACTATTTGCATAAACCTCACTGCTACTAATACTATACTGTCACCTTCATTTTGTGTGATGGTGACACTCAGGGGAACCTATTCAGGTATAATCACATAAATTTTACAGATTCATTATTGAGTTACCCACCATTACTCTCATCTTAGCATGCGGTTAAGTTTTTCAACATTTTAAGAATATCATCATATTAGTTGATCACACCGGACTAGTGTATTCTTAATTTTTCCATAAACACTGTCTAGAATAGTGTTCTCACTCCTCAGACTATAAAACTTTGTCTCCGAAGCTTCATTCTGCTTTAAGTATAACCAAACACGCAACTCATATACGTGTTAATTGATGTAGTAGAAAAAGTGTGTATATTATTCCTTGTGATATTCCACCGTAGTAACAGGAACAAAAGGGTTAAAGTTAAATGCGGTTCACAAATTATTTTGAGCAAAAGAAAAAGCCTTCATAAAATAATATTTTACTTCTAAAAGGTTGTATGTCATGATATGTCTCAAATATTTGATAACATTTTCTTTTTCTTTTTTTTATAAAAAGTATAGGTTTTTTATTTTATCATTTGAGTCAATGGAGGGACAAAGACAAAGGAAAATTGCGATATTTGTCCTTAACATATAAACCTAATTTAACATAACACATGAGGTTATTTATTTATTCAACTACGGTAACAATAGTAGGCACGAAGGCCTTTTTTTCACATTGGCCGTTTTAAAATAAACAAATAAATAGATAAAAAAAGAATATAATAGATGAATGAGAAATGTTTCAATGAGTCAGTTAGAGAGTTCTTTACCTGAATAACTCTTGCACTATAAAAGTAAAGTTCCCCTTCCAAACCTGACGGTCTATGGGGCAAGTGAAGTAGAGTTCGCCTGGTTCTGCGACCTCGGATTATTAAGGGATAGTGTGGTCAGCACTCTGCCCAGCCTCTTTTACTTTTCCTAACGTGTTGGGTGGATTCAAGGACGATCCAAATTATAAGCAATTTAATCTCTTAAATAAATCAAATTAAATAAACCAAATAAACCTCTTTTTAACACGGATCCCTTTTAAAGAATCACTAATGTAAATCTGCTAAGTGTAGAAAAAACACAAAGTGACTCAGATGATATGGGTATATCACTTGGGCCAACGGCCAATCAAAAACAATGATGCAGGGCAATGTGCCAGGAGGGAGATGACGGGGAAGGCGAGGACATTGGATGGGGGACATCAAGGCTAGGACATTGGATGGGGGACATCAAGGCGAGGACATTGGATGGGGGACATCAAGGCGAGGACATTGGATGGGGGACATCAAGGCGAGGACATTGGATGGGGGACATCAAGGCTAGGACATTGGATGGGGGACATCAAGGCTAGGACATTGGATGGGGGACATCAAGGCGAGGACATTGGATGGGGGACATCAAGGCGAGGACATTGGATGGGGGACATCAAGGCTAGGACATTGGATGGGGGGGGACATCAAGTCGAGGACATTGGATGGGGGACATCAAGTCGAGGACATTCGAATGGGGGACATCAAGGCTAGGACATTGGATGGGGGGACATCAAGGCTAGGACATTGGATGGGGGACATCAAGGCTAGGACATTGGATGGGGGACATCAAGTCGAGGACATTGGATGGGGGACATCAAGTCGAGGACATTCGAATGGGGGACATCAAGGCTAGGACATTGGATGGGGGACATCAAGGCTAGGACATTGGATGGGGGACATCAAGGCTAGGACATTGGATGGGGGACATCAAGGCGAGGACGTTGGATGGGGGACATCAAGGCTAGGACATTGGATGGGGGGGGGGACATCAAGGCTAGGACATTGGATGGGGGACATCAAGGCTAGGACATTGGATGGGGGACATCAAGGCGAGGACATTGGATGGGGGGGACATCAAGGCTAGGACATTGGATGGGGGACATCAAGGCTAGGACATTGGATGGGGGACATTAAGGCGAGGACATTGGATGGGGGACATCAAGGCTAGGACATTGGATGGGGGACATCAAGTCGAGGACATTGGATGGGGGACATTAAGGCGAGGACATTGGATGGGGGACATCAAGACAAGGACTTCTGGGATGCACGGTTACAGCAGCAGAATAGTGGCGAGTTGGCAACAAATACAGAGGGAGGGGGGGATAACTGTAGTGCTTCAAAGACCTCCCCTCTCCCCGGGGAGATGGGATGATTTATTGATTGATTTTAACAAAATTTTGTTTTGACCAACGCAGGGTTGAAATTATTTAAAATGTTCTGACTTCTAATTCTAAAACTTCAGTAAGATCAATATCATTGTTTAATATAATATGTTTTACACTGGCTTTAGTGTCTGTATTAAAATTATTCCACCTTGGCGAAATAAAGCCTAAAACTAAGAAAGATAATCAGATTAATTTTTTGCTGAGGTATTCCTATACAGTGTTGTCTGCCCTGAAAGTCATCAGTGTCACATTAAAATTATATTGAAAAACAAATTTAACCTTTATAATCAATTATGAGTCTTAACTCAATTTTTTAAAGAATGTTTTAAATTAAATTATATGCGCTCAATTAAAGTAGTGAATCAATAGAGCCCTGACATTAGATAGGAACGAATCTGTATGGTCGGAAATGGCTCTGCCTCATAAAATAAAATATCTTAATAAACAGCAATATAAAAATATCACACACACCCCTTCCATTCCCCCCCCCCCCCCCCCCCCCCGGTGTTCGAAATCAAACTATTAAAAATCAATACTTCTACTGGACGAGACCCGATGACAATACAATGTGATTTACCTTTTGACTTAATTAGATGTTCAATTAATTATTTTTTAATTAATTAAAGCTAATTTACCCGCATTGTTTGCGTTCATTTAAAGTGCACAATTCTTTTTAGCTATGCAATTATTTTACATCTTGAATTATTTGTCTAAAATGTCAGTCAACTTTCTATGTCCACACAAGCATTTCTACTTGTGCCGATGTTATTCCCTATTTCATGATAGCGTCTTACAACATGCCTTTGTCACTCTCACCTGTATAAACTTGTTTCTGCCTTCTAAAGCACCTCTAGATGTCTTCTAGTGAAAGGTCATCTGATCTATCATAATTTTTTGCTATCACAATCACAGCATTCAATTCACAGATTAAATTGTAATTGTACAAAATTGTTTTTTTTTTTAAATACAAATCTTATACCAGCTTTTCATGGCTACATGTAAAACAAATAAAGGTCCTGAAATTAGCAACAGTCTTTCATGCTATCAATTATTTTTTAGCAGAGACCATTCCAACAACTTTTTTCATATGTGTTTGTTACTTCTCATTTAAAATCAAATTTCTACTCCACAAGCTGGATATCTTGACTGAACAAAGAATTTTTGTACCAGTCCTATTCAGTCTTCTGTTTTTTAAATACAGAATTTTCAGGTAATTTTTTTTTTTTATCAAACATTCTTAAAAATAGGATATTTTGTTTTTAAGTATGAAGGAAGTCTGAAGGAAGTCAATTTTACAAAAAAATCAATCTAAACTGTTGTAATAAAAATGCATGTAGGCCTACGAAGCTTGAATTATTTGGGATGTTTTATAAAGTAAGGTATTTGTTTTCTTGAATATCTGTGTATAGGATTTATTATTTGTTTCATTTGGTGATGGCCTCTCTACTGGATGTGTTTATAATTTTTAATTAATCCAGCTGACTCTTTGAGTTATGTTTCTAGCAAGATTTCCTTTCTTACGTTTCAAATATTCAATGCATAGAAGGAAGCAGTTTAGGTGTATTGTTTCTACATTTTTAGACAAAATATTGTTTAAAAGTATGCTTGTATACAGTGGCGTAGCCAGGAATCGATCATGGGACGGGTTCAAGATGTTTCCATACGTATATAATCATATTTGTAAATGTATATATATATATATATATATATATATATATATATATATATATATATAATATATATATATATATATATATATATATATATATATATATATATGACTACCAGTACATATATATATATATATATATATATATATAACTATATATAACTATTATATATATATATATAACTATATATATAACTATAACTATATGACTACCAGTATATATATATATATATATATATATATATATATATATATATATATATATATATATATATATATATATATATATATATATATATATAACTATATATCTATATATCTATATATATACATATATATATATATATAACTATTGTATATAGTTTATATATATATATATATATATATATATATAACTATATATATATAACTATATATCTATATATCTATATATATACATATATATATATATATAACTATATATATATATATATATATATATATATATATATATATATATATATATATATATATATATAACTATATATATAAAACTATAAATATATATAACTATATATTTATATATATAGATATGACTATATATATATATAGGCTCAGGGTCCATGGGAGGGGTTATAACCCCCCCCCCCCCCCCTTGCCTACACCATTGCTTGTATATGTTCACAAGTTGGTGTAAATATATGTCTTGTGGTCCCTGGTTCAGATATTATTTATTATCTATGTCAGAAACTTGCTTGTTTTTTTTTAAATTGGTATTTTCACCTGCAACAAACATGCATGAGGAAATGCATCCTATGAGAATAAAAAAACCAATGAATTTTTTGGGGAATTTGACCAAAATTAATTTTCCTCACTATTTGTTTCTTAATAATGTGATATTTTTGTGAAAAATGGAGAAATTTTCAATTCAAGAAAACATTACCAGGATCTATATTTTTGCTGAAATTATTTTGTATTGATATAATTATAATAATTTGTTTTAAATCTACAGTAGTAAAATATTAAATACTCTTTCTCTCCTACTAAATTATTTCTGATAAGTTGTTTCCCTTTACTTTATTAAAGGGAAGATGCAATGAAATAAAACTAGGCAGAGAACTAAATGTTTGGTTATCTCCCTTCTAAGTAACAAAGGAGCTGTTTTTATACATTGTAAATTTGTTCACTTAAACCCTCTGTAAAGTTAAAAATTTGCAGCTTTAAAAACAACAAATTAGTTTTGTAAACTATGTTATGGAATTATTTTATGTTAACAATTTTAATAACCACATTTCAAAATCCATTTAGACAAATTTAGGTGTTTATTTTCCTTCAACAAATCAAGATGTAAAGTTTTAAGTACTATAAATAGATGAACTAACACATCAATTCAACTCTGCTCAAAACCAGCATGTAAGAACTTCACTGGCCAACACAGAGAAAAAGTTACAGTAAAACCCATGTTTTTTACAGGTTTTTTTATATGCAGAGTTTTTTCCAGGCATCTCTTCGGCCCCCCGAAAATTTTTACCACCCCCCCCCCCCCCGAACGGAATGAAATTTATATAATTTATATAGAAAATATATACTTTTATCAGTGTCCGCCCCCCCCCCTCCACCCGAAGAAAGTTTGCCGCCCCCCTGAAAATATCAAGTGCCCCCCCCCCCCCCCCGGAGAAAAAAGTCGGAAAGAAACACTGTTGATATGTCCCCATCAGAAGGTAGATTATTGGACACAGCTGGTATTGGTTGGCTTGTTTTAGTTATACTATGTTCATTCTTCATATGATTTTCTGGGGACATGGCCTCTGCCCTGCGATAGTCTAGGCCACACCGATCCACTGCCCTGCGATAGTCTAGACCACACCGATCCTCTGCCCTGCGATAGTCTAGGCCACCGATCAACAGCCCTGCGATAGTCTAGGCCACACCGATCCTATGCCCTGCGATAGTCTAGGCCACATCGATCCACAGCCCTGCGATAGTCTAGACCACACCGATCCTCTGCCCTGCGATAGTCTAGGCCACACCGATCCACTGCCCTGCGATAGTCTAGGCCACCGATCAACAGCCCTGCGATAGTCTAGGCCAAACTGATCTACAGCCCTGCAATAGTCTAGGCCACACCGATCCACTGCCCTGCGATAGTCTAGGCCACACCGATCCACTGCCCTGCGATAGTCTAGGCCACCGATCAACAGCCCTGCGATAGTCTAGGCCACACCGATCCTATGCCCTGCGATAGTCTAGGCCAAACTGATCTACAGCCCTGCAATAGTCTAGGCCACACCGATCCACAGCCCTGCGATAGTCTGGGCCACACCGATCCACTGCCCTGCGATAGTCTAGGCCACACCGATCCACAGCCCTGCGATAGTCTAGGCCACCGATCAACAGCCCTGCGATAGTCTAGGCCACACCGATCCTATGCCCTGCGATAGTCTAGGCCAAACTGATCTACAGCCCTGCAATAGTCTAGGCCACACCGATCCACAGCCCTGCGATAGTCTGGGCCACACCGATCCACTGCCCTGCGATAGTCTAGGCCACACCGATCCACTGCCCTGCGATAGTCTAGGCCACACCGATCCACTGCCCTGCGATAGTCTAGACCACACCGATCCTCTGCCCTGCGATAGTCTAGGCCACACCGATCCACTGCCCTGCGATAGTCTAGGCCACACCGATCCACTGCCCTGCGATAGTCTAGGCCACACCGATCCACTGCCCTGCGATAGTCTAGACCACACCGATCCTCTGCCCTGCGATAGTCTAGGCCACCGATCAACAGCCCTGCGATAGTCTAGGCCACACCGATCCTATGCCCTGCGATAGTCTAGGCCAAACTGTTCTACAGCCCTGCAATAGTCTAGGCCACACCGATCCACAGCCCTGCAATAGTCTAGGCCACACCGATCCACAGCCCTGCGATAGTCTAGGTGACACCGATCCACAGCCCTGCGATAGTCTAGGCCACACCGATCCACTGCCCTGCGATAGTCTAGACCACACCAATCCTCTGCCCTGCGATAGTCTAGACCACACCGATCCTCTGCCCTGCGATAGTCTAGGCCACACCGATCCACAGCCCTGCGATAGTCTAGGCCACACCGATCCTCTGCCCTGCGATAGTCTAGGCCACACCAATCCACAGCCCTGCGATAGTCTAGGCCACACCGATCCTCTGCCCTGCGATAGTCTAGGCCACACCAATCCACAGCCCTGCGATAGTCTAGGCCACACCGATCCTCTGCCCTGCGATAGTCTAGGCCACACCGATCCACAGCCCTGCGATAGTCTAGGCCACCGCTAGAGCTATGCTGCGTCAGACCAGACGACCCCGTCCACCACTAAGCCAGACCAGTAGACCCCGTCCACCACTAAGCCGGACCAGACGACCCCTTCCACCACTAAGCCGGACCAGTTTGAGTATTTAAAAAATGGATTAAAAATCATGTCTATATCTCGAGTTGCCATCCCCCGTAGTGTTATGTAGAGCAGGGGTCTCCAAACTACGGCCAGCGGGCCGGATGCGGCCCGCGAAGTCCTCTCATCCGGCCCGCGGAGATCTTTTTGTCAAAGGAAAAATCGTTTGTTGGTGATGGCTGAGGAAGTTCGCCCAGAAAAATCAAAGACATGCCTGGAAGAAACTGGCCCCCGAACGGAAATTTGATAGTTAATGCGGCCCTCGGACTGAAAAGTTTGGAGACCCCTGTTGTAGAGGATACGCGTATCGTGTTTTAAACGTTCTATGATGCGACAAAATCACTCTACTTCGATAATTGCGAAAGTGAAGCAGAAATCAGTTAGTAGTTAAACTTGGTAAACGAGCAGAAGCGTAGCGAGGGCGGGGCGTGGGGTGCGGACCGCACTGGGTGACACCATTTAGGGGGTGACACCAAGGGAAAAAATTGCAAAATTTACAGAAGAAAAATGCTTTTAGCCAGTTCCATTAACGATTACTTACAATAAAAAGTCTTTTAAATACAAATCGAAAATTATTACAAGAGAGTGGGGTGACACCATGACGTAAACGTGCTATTTATAGAGAAAACAGTGCTACACCCAACAGACTATAGATAAAATTGTTATGCAGTGATTAAAGCTTATACACACATACATGTACGCTTATATTTGAATTATAGGTCTATTTAGGCCGACACAACACACACAAACACACACACACACCCACACATACATACACACACACATATATTATATATATATATATATATATATATATATATATATATATATACATACATACATACATATTCCGCCACTTTCAACTGTATGGGCTGTATGGGCAATTAAATGTCCAGGCTAATTATAAGAATAGATATACCAGAATTACATACTAGAGCTTACGTTTATTCGTGGTGGGTGCAGTTTTTAGTTCATATTCCTCCCGGTGGAGGTGGTGGGCCACTTGAAACTTTCCGGAGCAATTCCAGAAGCTCTGTTGGGGGGGGGGGGGGTCTGCCTTGATCAAGAACGATCGGAATCAATGGAATATATAAATTGTAGGGCCTAGATCTATATGAAAGCCTGACTTACTATTACATTATTTAGTCTATATTTTTATTACAATTTCTAGATGCTTAAAAGTAGATTTTAAAAACGTGTAGCACAACCCTACCCCATGTTATACAACAGAATGTAAGAAAAAGAGAAACAAAGCAACACTTCTGTTCTAATAATATAATAATAATATTATTATTATATTTTTTAAAACACGAAATCTTCAAATATTGATTTTTCAATGCTAGTAGTAGGCCTAGTGTGTAAATAGCTTCTTCCGCTAAAATTAGGAACAGGCGCCGATAACTTGCGCAGTTCACTTCCCATGTGCATTGGACAAAGATAAAGATGGCTGACCAAATGGAGGTAAAAAGTGTTGCGTTAAAAATATTTAATTTTACAAATGCACCCTTTTCTGTTTTGTTATTTAAAAGACTAATACTTAATTAAGAAACTCCATACTAAGAGTGATGGATGAAAATACTAGACTACATATTACAGGAAGAATGATTTAAAAGAAACTAAGAATTAAAAACCAAATTATTAACACGACCAACGCTTTTAAATTTGGGTAACCTAAATTTGTTGGGGGGGGGGGGGGGAAGCTCACGTGGATAGATCTGCTTTAACTTTTACTCTTTTAAACACGATATAAATCTAGGTAAAATCTTAGTTTAGCGTCGTAAATTCGGCCAAAACTAGTAATGTGGGAGAGAGTGAATTAATGAATATGTCATTAAATATGAGTATATTTTCGTATATTTTGATAAAGTATTATAGATAATTGAATAATAGATCACCATTTATGGTTAAATCAATTTAAATATCCTGAAATTAATTTTTATCAACCCTGTTCGAGATAGTAAATTTGCTATTAAAAACAGCAGCCATCTTAAGAAAATGTTATTGAGAGTAGCTTCCCTTTCATTTCTATTCGTATGAAAATGTATTAAAATATGATTGTCTTGTTGTATAGTCCGTATTACAAAGCATTTTTTTTTTAAAATGTGAATTTCCTAACAAACAACTTTATTAATTCTAGAAGCATTGTGAGATGCAACTTGTATCCATGTATTAAATCACGTTTTTTTACTAATGTTTATTTGATCTTACTATTACTATATAATTTGAGTTTTTTCTTATTGTTTGAATGTTCACTATTTTCATTTCAGGTTTTTCTTTTCATCAATTAGTAATTCTATTGTAACTTATGACATTTTTTTACTTCTCTTTACCTTAATTAAACCCCAACCTCCGTCATATTTTTGTCGTAAATGTCACAACAAGTCATAATGTAAAAAAAATTACGCTTTCCTCTGCCTTATCTAAGATCTCTAGACATAATTTTGACAACAATAAATGTTTGTCATCATTTATATATACAGAGAGACAAAATGTATTATCCACCAGCTTCCCTCGTAAAACATCATCTAAAACAATGAGCCAGTCCACCCCTTAAGTGAGTGTTGTCATTATGGTCGATCGCAAGTCTCAACCTGCCAGACACATTTTGGTTATCCTTTGTTGTCAAAATGTCAATATCAAGTACCCAAGTGAGTGATATGGGGTTGTCCCTAAATGATGTCACATATGATTTGCTACGGAAGTGAGTGAAGATTTGTGACGTCAACTCAGGCGGGTCCACAATTTATGACGTGTCGGTCTCATGAAAGGAGGTGAACGGGGTAAAATACCTAGGTGGTTGATGGAGAACCTCTGTAATGCTTTGTTCAATCAAAATAACGATATAAGCATAAGTATAAGTAAGCATAAATAAGCATTAGTATATGTATACCTTGCTTAAACGAATCATCACAAATGTTGCAAGCCTGCTAGTTTAAGACATTTGGCAAAACGGCCGCAACACATTATCCCCGTCAAAAAGTCTTTCCACCAAATGCCTGCCGACGAATAAGCCGCGTCTAATGCGGGGCGTTAGGAATACGGCCATTAGCATGGGCCGCGTTGGAGCACCAGTAGGCTATCGCGCTGTATAAGATGACGTAAATACTTAAATTCAACTTCGCTATACTGCGGCGAACATTTAGTAATGTTCCATCGTTTGAGGAAATTTATTTTCTTGGACTTAAATTGAAATATCATGTTGACTGTCTGGCTCTTAATTTCCGAATATCACTTTTAAAGTATCAAGATTCAGAACTATAATTTACTTTAATATAAGTGTCATCTTATAGTTTATTGTGCTTTTTATAAAGCGCAGAGCAGCTTCAAAATCGGACGCCCATCCTGTTTTCACCCAGCTTCTTTTGGAGCTTAATATGGGTAGTCTAGTTCTACACGGTGAGAGCTTAATACATTTTTAAAGGGCCGAAAGTCTCAAGACAGCAAGCTTGCTGAAATAATGTTTAATGAACACCAACTTATGTAATCAAATTAAACGTCGCAAAAGCGTCAAAAAGCCAGTGTTTGTTGTTTTTTTTTTTTCTATAAAATTAGCCTAACGGTCGGCGGTACCGGTACATGACGTCACGTGCGAGCGTTAACTCGTTGACGATGTGCTAAGTGGGGGAATGAAAAAGGTGGGGTTCAAGAAATGCGACTAGGCAAGCTTTTTACATTTCTTGACCCTTCTTAATAGTTCTATCGTCCCCACCGAGAAAATGGATCACCAATGAATGACGCGTCATACTTCTACAGCTGGTCTTTCTCCCACAAACCATCCCCTGTTTTCACGAGAAAAAAAACCCTGACCCGTCTCCAAAATCACATCGCTGAGTTCTACTCAACCTCTCCCCGCCACAAATCACAATTTCTATCTGAAACAATATGTTCATATGTTTGCTCTGTAATAATTCACGCTGTCATTAATATCATAAGAGCGACGTCATTTATGTGCGATCTAATATTGATTTGATTACTGCAAATAAAGTGTTCAAAAGTTCGACCTCCCAACAATTGTTGTGGTCTTGGATGCACACTATTAAGTCTGAAAAAGTCTATTAGTCATTCATGTCAACTATATTTAAAAAAAAGAAAAATTACTATACAGGGGGTCATCCATAAATGACGTCACGCTTTTTTGACGATTTTTACCCCCCCCCCCCCCCCCCCCCCCACCCCCCCCCCCCCCACACGTCGTCACAAAAAGCCAGACCCCCCACCCCCCTAAAGTGACGTCACACCTCAGCCTACAACCCCCCTCAAAATTGCAGTTGAATTGTTTTTTAAACAGCTATATTTTTCCAAAATCTTGTCTGAAACTCTGTCAAAATAGAGTATTTTAATCAATTGTTATTACAATGTATTAAAACAGTTTTCTAAAACGCAAAATTACGTCTAAAATTCGTCACACCATGTGAACCCCCCTCCCCCTCATCACACAACGTCACAAAATTACGGACCCCCCTCCCCCCTACGAGTGTGACGTCATTTATGGACGACCCCCAGGCATGTATTAAAACAATACAAAGCAATCATATTAAACCACAAAATCAACACAAAAGACATGCGAATAGACAATTTATTGTTTTTGAAACATGGCCGCTGCTTGAATTTACTCATTGTTGTCTCGAACGGGGTAGTTTTAAGTTTATTCCAGGATATTTATGACTGGTTTGGTCTTGGATTGTGATTTGTTATTCAATTATCTGTTATATTATGTAAAATATGACATAAATATGGCCAAATGAAAGAAATATTCATTAGTTACCTTCATCGCACATTACTAGCTACGTTGGAATTTACGACGCTAAACTAAGATTTTACCTAAATCTAGTAGTTTTTCTTACTAAATCTAGAATTTACTCAAATTTCAAATTAAACATGACTACTGAATGATAGACATCCATATTTAATCCATTAGGCACTAATTTTGAAGTTTTTAGTTCATTTTAAACTAAATTACTTAATTTAATATTTATTGACACTCACTGCCATGGCCAACACACCTCTCCATGACAACTCTACTTAAGCTTGAACGTAAAGAAAACCACAAATAGGTTAGACTTTTTAAGTGGCCATGTACCCAGAGTTCCCCACTAGTGATCATCAAATAGCGGTCACGTGGTTTAAAAAAATAAATAAATTTGGTTGTCATTCAAAAGTCGTGTCTTATTTTAAAACGTGCATGCAATATTTGATTTATTTCTTCATATAATGATAAAACTAATAATTCTACAACCTCCAATTCATTTTTGTGACCTCCGGGCTGATATTTTAGAAGTTCTATTAATTTGAATGAGACCGACTTTTGAATTTAGCCTCCGTTCTCCAAACCAAATTTTAAAATGCTTTTCTGGCATATCTAACCCTGCCACTTATGGTTTGTTGTTATGACACGGAATCCCCGCCATTTTGCGCGTGGTAAACATTTTTAAATGTAATTAGTTGAAGGTCTCTGGAATTTGGCCGTAAAATCGCCGGAAATCAAACGTCCGGTCCGGGCGCCATATTGTTGTTAGCAACCGACCACGCTTCCAAGTTAGCGAGAAATACTAAAATCTAGATCTAGTTTGTTCTGCATTGCATATATAAGCCTATGCTTATTTCGTTGTGTATTTATCTAGATATGATAGGCCTGGACATAATTTAATTTAGCAAAGTTGAAGCACTGCATGGTTAGGTCAACCAGATCCTTTTAAAATAAGGGGGGGGGGGGGAAAAGAACTGGTTGCATGGACCAGTAATACCATTCATACTGTCCAATAACGCCTACTTTAAAAAGGGTGCTATTGGTCCAAATAGATTGGATTTTCTTACAAAATTTAAAATTTACTCAATTCTCAACATGACCACTGAATGATAGACATCCATTAAATCTTGAAATGACCTAAATTATCCTAAAAAGTTCAACATTTGTGGGGGAAAGACATGCATCTAAAAGAAAATGCATTGCTATTTACCAGTAACGCCTTGTTTAGGCCTCGCATTTTGCCTCCTCTTTGTTTTGCGTATCGCATTTTGCCTCCTCTTTGTTTTGCGTATCGCATTTTGCCTCCTCTTTGTTTTGCGTATCGCATTTTGCCTCCTCTTTGTTTTGCGTATCGCATTTTACAAAGTCCTGCCGTAGCTCTAACCATAATTGCTGACTCTTAAACTAAACCTGAGGTTACAATACTGCTTACACACCTATTTTAGAGTAGTTGTTGTCCACATTTGTAATAGTAATACCAAAGCCCATAAAGCTGGAGGAGTGGAAATGTCCCCTGACCCACATATGTCATACACATTTTTCCTTAATGTTTTTCTTGTCTAGGGAAATGGTTTCTTAACTGAACTAAATGAAAATCCTGCTAGTCTCACAAAATCTCATTATTTAAATGTGAGGCCATTGAGAAAAATGGTCCACATTGCACCACAAAAGGTGCAACTTTTGGGTTTTTTAAACAGATGTCTGCCTCCTGATTACTGAAAAGCCATCTGGTATTAGAGTAACTAATCAATATCTTCTAGTTAGGATGTAAGCCAAGCCTTGTATCCATCAAACAAAGCCTTTATTAGTTTTGTCAATAAAAAATTTAATGATAAAAATGTCTCATTATGTTTTGGCATGCCCAATCATTGCACGAAAGACATAATCAACGAACTAACACTACTTAACCATAGCCACAAATATGTTGGTATCTGTATATACAAATTTATTTAGGCTACAGATTTTAATTAAAATTAAAGATCTAATTCATATGTAAAAGCACTTTAAATTAAAAGACGACGTGTTAGGCCTAACACACACTTTATTTTTAGTAGGCTACATAGATTGAAAAGTTTAACGCATTATAAAACTAGATTTACTGTCTGCTATAGCTTTCATATGTCTGCATATTTTTCGTACGTTCCAACACAGTCATCATATTTTACTAAATATGTCTTCTAGTTTGAGAATAAATTGATTTTAATTCATATAATCTGGGACTAAGGTCACTGATTTGTCTGAGAAATGTAAATTCATTTTTAAAAATGTATAAACTGTGGAAAAAAGATAATTTAGGTGGGTTTTTTTTACTAGACTATTTCAGGCCGTAAAAATATCAATTTTTTGTTTCTAAGCAATGGAATAGTGAATAGGTAGGCTTAATAAAATTAAATTAAAATATTTTGCATAGTTTTACTTCATTGTTTGGGGTGCTCTTAGCTGAGAGTATGTAAAATAATTTCCCCTAAATGGCTGACTTGCTGGCTGAGATGATAGTGAATTAGCTATCCTGTCAAGTGGTATTGACTCGACATACATGCAGTGTTGTTGTTTTTTTCCAACATGGGGGAAATCTCAATGCCCGTGAATGGTTCTAATTCATTATTATTTTGACATTAGCTTTTATAATTTATTCATTCGTTATTCAGACTAGGTTTGAGCTTAGATAACATGGACTAAAATTGATGTTTTGAAAAGTAAAAGCATATGAAGGGATGGTGTGGTCAGCACCATGCTCAGCCAAAATCAGTGTTTTTGAAAGACAAAAATACATGTTAGTTTAGGTGTGACGTCTTTTTTGATGTGGGGTGATCTGGCTTTTTGTAGCAATGTTGGGGAGATAAGTCATCTCAAACAAGTGTGATGCCATTTTTGAATTACCTCTAAACCAACAGTTATTTCAAAGATAATGGGTGGTCCACTTAATAACCAAATCAATAAGGACTGAGTTGGCTTGTTGCAGCACATGAATACTACATCTTTTTTTCTAGTAAAGTAGAAAAAGTACATGTACAGAGAAACAGTTACAATTTTTCTTCAGCTACTATAACTTAATTAACAAAAGACTGATTTCTTGCTGTCTGTTATTTTTTATCTACGCATTTTTAGTAGGTCTGATCTTAATATAACACTTCACTTACAGAAAATTTTTGTTATTTTAGATGCCACAACTAAAAGTTTCAACAATACATTAGGGAGTTTATCGTTTAGCTTAGTCTAAATTTGTATTGTGGATATGGTCTACTGTGGGTTTTGTTGTTGTTGTTTTTTTTTAAATAATTTTACTAATGATCGTATTTATTTTCAGTCTGTACCTACTAGCAGTAGTGGTGATATCAACACAAATGCTCAGGCAGAATCAAATTCAACTGCTGAGCCAAACAGCAATGGACACCTAGCTCCTGATGAGATGACATCAAAGGACTACTACTTTGATTCTTATGCACACTTTGGTATTCATGAGGTAAATTAGCCTTGTCATTTTTTAAGCATGCAGCTTATTTCTTTGATGTTTCATGTGGGTTTTTTTTTCAATTAACAATTTTAATTCCTGTACATTTTAGGAAATGTTGAAGGATGAAGTTCGAACCCTGACGTACAGGAATTCCATGTATTACAACAAACATTTGTTTAAAGACAAGGTTGTTTTGGATGTTGGTTGTGGAACTGGTATTTTGTGCATGTTTGCTGCCAAAGCAGGAGCACGTCGAGTTGTTGGGGTATGTAGTTTTGTAACTTGTCCTTTGACTGCCATGTTTTATGCAGTAATGTCTAGTGAGTTTATCTCTCAAATTATTGTGCTAACTTTTTGTGTGTGTGGAGTTATTTATGTCACTTCCAAGTAAGTATAACACCTCTATAAAAGCATTCTGTTTTAACTAATTTTTTTTGCAAAATTTAATATTTAACTGTTTTTAAATTCTAGATTGAGTGTTCCAGCATTATTGATTATGCTGAAAAGATTGTGGCTGCTAACAGATTGGACAAAGGTATTTATAATACAAGTCATGTTTTTAACTTATCTCAGTTTTAACAATTCTCAAAGCAGTCACAATAATCTAGGTTAATGTTATATGCAAAATTATTTTCCAGAATATTTTTATTTTTGGTGCTAACTTGTGTTATTATTTTTGATTCAGTTATTTCCCTTGTGCGCGGCAAGGTTGAGGAAGTTTGTTTGCCACCAGACATTGATAAGGTTGACATTATTATATCTGAGTGGATGGGCTACTGTCTTTTTTATGAATCAATGTTAAACACAGTTATCTTTGCCAGAGATAAATGGCTGGTAAGTTTGTTTTGTATTTTTATATGATTTGATTCAAACAAGAACTTATTCTACTAATAAATTTTATCAAACATGGTTACACTTGTCAATTTTTCCCCTCAGAAACCAGATGGTCTCATTTTCCCTGACAGAGCCACTTTATATGTGACTGCCATTGAAGACAGACAGTACAAGGATGAGAAAATTAACTGTGAGTATTTTAAAATATTCTAATAAGTTATAAAATGACACAATAGTAGTCTAAAGGTTAAATCAAAGTCCACCCAGTTCTTATGGGGAACCTGCCATAGTGCTGACTATCCTCGTGTACTGTGGTCAGAGAGACCTATGGTATCTGCCCCATAAAGAGTTGGATTTTAATATTTATTACTGTATTCCATATAATAAAAACTTGATACCATATCTTTGTAAAATGTTAATATAATTGATCTTTAATAATGTTTAGTTTTTTATTTATATTTATTCTCATCTATTCTGATAGGGTGGGATAGTGTTTATGGCTTTGATATGAGCTGTATACGTGATGTTGCCATAAGGGAACCACTTGTTGATGTTGTTGACCCGAAACAAGTTGTCACTAATTCCTTTTTGGTCAAGGTAATGCTTTTTGTACTGAGTGTTTGATTTTTTTATGCCTATGCAGAGGGACTTGTCATTGTTTTCTTTGTTCTCTATGTATTATACTCCCTGAATTATTAAATTGGTGCTAGCTAGTGTTAGGGATTATTTGAGTACTTTGTAGTACATCTATTAAAAATTTACTCTCTTGGATTCTTGTTTGACTTGAAATTGATTGAAATGTTTTTCTTTTTTAGGAAGTTGATATTTACACAGTAAAGGAAGGTGATATTGCATTTACTGCCCCTTTCCGTTTGACCTGTAGACGTAATGACTATCTCCATGCATTGGTTACATTCTTCAATATTGAGTTCACAAAATGTCACAAGCGCACTGGATTTTCCACATGTAAATATATTTTTTTATCACTTTTTTTTTTCATATCCTTACTTTATGTTTATCTGTTTGAATATAATGTGTTTGTGTTATTAGCTCCTGATGCACCTTACACACACTGGAAACAGACAGTCTTCTATCTGGGTGATAATGACCTGACAATCAAGAAAGGAGAGGAAGTGGATGGAGTCCTTACCATGACACCAAATAAACAGAACAATGTATGTGTACTTTTAAAAAATAACGTATCATTATACCTGAAGTGTATTTTAGAGTAAAATAGGTTACTAATACATTGCTTTTTTTTTTTGCTTCAGAGAGATCTGGATTTCACAGTGAGCATTGACTTCCATGGAGAGCTGTCAGAAGCATCTTGTTCACTCAATTATAAGATGAGATAAAGATTGTCTTACCCTACCATTGTCCAGGAGAATGGTCTCTTTTTTTCTCTAAATATAATGCTTGCTGAGTGTATTAGGTTTACTATTACTACCAGTAGTTAACTTTCTGAGTTATGTTATTTTTTAATGTAGTAGTAACTAATATGTGGTCATTTCAGTTTATTAGTGTACTACATTAGAATTGAGTTCAAAAAGCTTAGTAACTAATAATGTTGTAGGTTAATCTCCATGAAAATGCTTAACCTCTGAATGGTGTTTCATCTAAGTTAAGGCAGCTTTTTATTTTCTTTTATATTCTTGTGAACTGTTGTGTAACCTATCTTCTGGACATGGTCTTTTTAAACTGAGTTGTAAATTGTTGCCAGTTTTATAAACCTACAAATGGGTAATCAATATTGAGTTTCTTGCAAGATCAATTACATTTCTGCAATACCTTAAAAGGAAGAGACTACAGACTGTGAATGTATTAATGGAGCTAAACAAGATTTGGTGGGGTTGGTCCCTAGTTGGATATCTCTAGCTTGTTAATTGTTAGGACTCTTTAAGATTGTATAGTATAATTTTTAACTTGTTACGTCTCATGGCTGCACATCTATATTTTTTCTTGCTGGGTTTTTACAGTGAATGCAAGCTTTGGTCTTTGTTTCTGCCATTATGATCAAGGTGTCAGTTCCACATTTAGCCTAAGACAGTAATTGCATTGTCTACATTTTTTATTTATGAGATTAAACAGCCAGCTTATTTAGATAGTTGGAGAACTGTGTATGCTGGAATAATTTACTTACAAGCATAAGCTTGGACTAGTCAATATTTTCTAGCACCGCACTATCAAAAAATATTTTAGATCTGACAATTTTATCTCTAGGTGTTGCAACCCAAATTTACATAACTTAAAAGCTGACTGACTGTTCTATTTTATAATGTGCTCCATGCTAATGGTTTCATGTTGATTTTTATTGAGCTTAATTTGATGCTGTTGTTTATGCATCCTTACATGTCTTGTAAAGAGAAAAAAAAAGTTCATTATCATGTTTTGTTGCATACGCATCATCATTAAACATTTGTATTCATTTGTAAGATGAATTGTTTTTAAGTGTTGGTAAATCTTAATTTAAAAAATTGTGCTTAGTTATTGAAAGCTTTTTTCTTAACACTTTTTGTGCTCCAGGTATTAGAGCTGTGATAATGCTTTGGCTTGTCTACAGTACAAATATATAGGCCTTTTTAGCACACATATGACTAAAATTTCAAATATTTTTTAAATTTAAAAAATATATTAAAATAAAATTATTTTATTGGACCAGAGCTATATAATATGACAGCTTTATAAAAAATAAGAATTAGCTAAGACAATTTTCCCATGGTTTAGGTTATTTTATTACATGGGAAGCATTTGTAAATACCTATGACTTTTCTTCGGTGGAGTGACGGGCTCTTAGTACAATGTGAAAATCATATTTCAAATGCTTTTGGCCTAAGTATTGGACAGGGTAAAAAGTGAGTGCAGTTTCAAGTCCCCGTGTGATGTGCTTTTGAAATTAAAATCATGATCGCTATTCATAGACAACTGTTGCATGGAGCCCTGGTTATTGAGCGTTATACTTAAAATACATTAATGATTAAAAGTCGTTATGAACTAGTCTGCTGTAAATAAACGAATGTTTCAAGTAGTGTAGTATCACCATGAATTTTAAGCTAAAATTTGCAGGAGGGTTAAATAATGCTTCCTGTAGTGTTTATCGTCTCTGTTAAATCAAGAGAGAAGGATTGTCATACGATGTAGGTGAAGTAACTCATGTTGTCTCTTTACCTCCCCTACCATTAGTAATAAAACAGATACTCAGTCAGATAGTGTTAGTCTGTTAGTTACCTCACACGTTTAAGAGTTACAAGTACTATGGACGTTTCGACCCAAGGTCTTCGTCAGCACACAACAGAGTGGTTACAGATTGGACAAATAAAGACAAACAGTAACACATTTTTTTACTTAGCTCGACAGTGAAAACACGTCTTGTCTGCTAGCCACGATATCCAAAAGAAGATACGTGTGAGAAGAGAAGGACGCTTGGACACCGTATAGGGGTGGGGTTGGGGGCGAGGTGTATGCGGGAGGGGGGTTGGTTAGGTGAAAGATACCTGTTCATTCAAACCATCGGGAAAAATGGGTCAAAATCAAGTTTTTAGACCACCATACGTTATATAATAATAACCTACTGTAACACGAATAGTACTTGCCTTCTTGATTTATGTATTTATTTCTATAAAATCATTGTTCTAATAGTCCATTTCATCTAAACCAGAAGGATAGGATTACATTTTTGTGCTAAAAGTGAGTTGCCTTCCCCCTCCTCTTATGGGGGGAATTCTCAAACCAAAAATAGATTGAGACTAAAAATAAATATCCACAACCAATGAGAGCAGTTGTTTTTTTCATCCAGCCAATGAATGGTTTGTTAGGGGGCGCTACTGGAATGTTTTTAGTCTGGCGATCAACATCGCGTATATTCGTATTCTACCAACAAGTTGTTGAGCATTCGATAATAACTAAATCTAGAATAAGACATCTTCGACTGATTTCCTGTAAGTTGTCATTCTCACATTCTTTTTACTTAGATCTATTATTAATAACGCCTTCTATTTTTAAATAATTTAAAAATAGTTCGATACATAGGCTACCACTCTGTACGCAGCAGACAGTTGAGTCAGAGTGTGCATGAGTGAGTTTGATTTGAGAACTAGAAATCTAAACCTAGATTCTGGATCTAAATCTAGATCTAGATCTAAATCTAGATTCTATATCTAGTTAGTTACAGTCTAGTAGATAAATCAATCATCTATCTAGAATCTAGTAGTTATCTAGATCTAGACTTATTTAATCTATTATATTATTCTATTTCTGGTGTACACACCTCAGTTTCAGAGTGCCATCGAGTTTCATTGACTGATGGCACACTCACTCAAAAGTCTAAATGTAGATCTAGATCTAGACTCTAGTAGTGTTGTTGTTGACTAGTAGACAATAAAGTCTACCGCCCCCCGAACGAGATGGAATTTTTATAGTAAACATACACTACACTTTTACTAGTGTCCGTTCCCCCGAAAAATGTTGACCGCCCCCCCCCCCCCCCCCCGAAAATATCAAGTGCCCCTCACCCCCACCCTGAGAAAAAAGTCTGGAAGAAACTCCGATTATTAAGTAAACTACATAAGAAAGAAGCATAGGCACTCGAGTGCCCTTAAGACTTTAGCTAGGGCTAGGCTTATTTAGGGTTAGAAATATCTCACTTAGTTTATTACTATTAATTTAAATATACAATTGTTAGTAACATTACCAATGAAGGCCTCCCAGTTAGGTATTAAATTACTATTTTATGTATGCCTATATGTGTTATATAGTATGTAATTGTAATTTAAGTATAGGCCCTAGAGGCCTATGGCAAACTGAAAATGAAAAGTAAAAAAAAACAGCTTTTTGAAGTAACCTACTATAAACTATCTATGAGAAGACCTACTCTTTTTTAATATAGATCTAGTTGTAAATCTAAGGATGATGACAGGCCTTCTATGTATTAGGGTTTATATAGAAAATATTTTACGGTGCTTATTTATTTATTATTAAGTTAGGTCAGCGATTTCCTTATATTTTTGTTGTTCTTTTGAAATCACTTTTTTTCAAATCGGTATTGTATCTGTACTACCCTTGTATGTAGAACTTTTATTATCATCACGTTTATGCATCTACTACCCACCCCCAGTCTCTTTCTATCCTCTCCCACCCCCTTTCCCCTATTGCTTCCCTTATTCCCTCCTTAGCACTGTTTTCTAAACCTAGCAGAGTGCTTCGCATCTTCTCCCCGTTGGGCTGACAACGCGATCAATAATCCAGCCGCGCCAACAAGCCCCTGCACGTCTGCATCTATGTTTTCATCCGACCTTTGAGATGGCCATTTTGTTTTTACAGATTTAATTTAATTAAATTAAACCCGTAACTCCATTAGCGAAGGCAAAGTTTCTTTATAATTTCCAAGAAAACGTTAACATTTATAAACATTTGGCCCAAATGTATAATAACGTATGTGGCCTTCATGTTTTTCAAAATAGTAATTAACCGTAATTGTTTGTAGTACCACAAGCGGCTATCAATCGATGGCCTTGAAGCAGCCATCCGCGAAGTAACCAATCGTCTACCACTAACCCGCTACGTCACATTGGGTGCCATTTGAATTTCGATGACAAGCTTCATTCTTGTAAAGATTGTTCCTTATGAACAAGTATTCTACACACTAATATGTGTGTAGTCTTAAGCAGCCAATTTTCACCCCGCTTACCATTACTCCGCAAATAGTATATATCAACCTCAGACTGAATTCTAATCCTAAAGGCTAAAGCCTGAACTATCGTGAAAAAATATATAACAACAAACTATACCCGGTTAATTTATTAGAATCAAAATATATGTGTGGTAGTAACGTCTCTGTCCACACTCCCCAAGAGAACCTCTCTATTCCAGTATACAAAGATCACGTTGTTTAAAATGGAATGCTTCTATTGATCGGTTTAAACAGGGTGGAAACCTCGTCTCTACCCTAGTTGTACATACATTCGTACGATCATATACAGATCTCCCGCGTGCATCTGGGTAATGATGTTAGACGGGCACGTGATTTGTTTAATTACTGGGCGCCGCAGGCCTACCGACTGGCTGTATTGTTTGTTTTGGTACATGACGTTTTAGTGTGAGTACCGGCTCATCTCTGATTATCTCCCCGTCTGTGTGGTACCATACGCGCGTATGTTAACAGGATGAGTACAAGGGTAGGTTTTGGTACACATACATCTAGTATGTACACATGCATTTAATACAAGGGTAGATTGTACATTCAAAGGTAGGGTTCATACACACGCATAGCTTGCATGCATACGCACTAGTAAAGCTGGTACCGTCTCTCTCTCACGAAGATCAGACGCATATACACACACGAAGATCACACGCAAACACACTCACACACACACACGAACATCACACGCATACACATACAGGAAAATCACTCACACACACTTGCATATACACACGCGAACATCATACGCACACACACACACATACATATACCGTCTCACAAATTGCCTACCCATCTCACCTCATATCTACCTGTGCCGTGCATATACCTAACCTAACTACAGGAAATGCAGAAACGTGTCTGGTAGAGACTTTTACCCCCCCCCCCCCCCCCCCCCATCATCCATTACCCAAACTCTAAACATAATTGTATCTTGAAAAGAATAACATGCCAGGTGTTTGTAAAAAAAAAAAATAATTTCACCTCAAGAAAATGTAATTTCGCCTGAAGTCTAATGTGCTGATGTAAAATGTACAGGTAAATATTTGCAGAAAATGTGTTATTATTGTTATTATTTTTGCTAGAATTCAGAACTTTTAAGTTAAATATGCAGACTTCTGTTTTCTCTCTTTGCTGTCATTTCGTTATGTTTTTCATCATTTCCGGTGATTGTTTCGTGATTCTATAGCATTTCCGTTCTTCTGTTTTACTTTCTTCTTCCTTTTACCTCTCTATTGTTGCTTTGGGTTTCCTCTAATATTGCCCCCCCCCCCCACACCCACCCACAGCATTGTTCTGGTTGTGTTGTCGTCTTGGTGCCGCATGGGAATAATTGGTCAACAGACACCGTACGGTGTCTACCTTACGGTGTCTACACACATAGCATCTGATTTAGTTTTACATGGTATTTAGACACCCGCATTGTAAAGTGTGTTATTTCAGCAGACAAACCTACGTAGCCTACTTAGAAGATTAAAAGACGCAGTGGCTGATTATGGTAGGACCTCTAGCTACACACGCCGTTAAATTTCGTGTCCATTTGTTTTTCTTAATACAAATCAGCCTACTGATACCATGAAAGTCACACAAGTTAAAAGTTTTTATTTGTCAATTATTGAACCAGGTCATTTTTTTTTCTTTATATAAAGATAAACAGCTAGATTTTAACATTTGTGAAAGATCTGGACATTTATTTTAAGGGTCGTTTGGACAAGTAATCGACCACATGTAGTGTGATAAACTTTACTGAAAATATTAAGAAAAACTTTTGCTAGAAATAATTCCAGTGTGCAATATAAAACATCTAACTCTCTACAAAATTCACTTTTTTACTATGGCGACACCACACCGTAGGTAATTAATCAAGATGAAGATACACACGTTTTAAACATTACGCACAAAAAAAATTATTTAAATTGCTCTACTACGCCTGCTAAAACGTTAAAAACCTGTTTCTAGAATGCATCTGTCTATGTGACATCTTTATGGCATGACATGTGTCAGGTGCCATATGGCAATAACATACACGAGAAACAATGGGAAACGTTTACAATTGTCACTTTTATTACACAAAATTAATAGGATAATTTGTTATACAAAATACAAGGTCACTCGTTTTACATAATACAAGGACACTTTGTTACACAGTACAGTTCCACACCACTATAGCTTCACACCGCATCACCACACCACAGTACAACTATACACTAGAGCTACAGCACACAAATACGCACCACAGCTACAGGACACAACTACACACCACAGCTACACACCACAGCTACACACCACAGCTACACACCACAGCTACACACCACAGCAACAGGACACAGCTACACACCACAGCTACACACCACAGCTACACACCACAGCTACACACCACAACTACACACCACAGCTACACACCACAGCAACAGGACACAGCTACACACCACGGCTACACACCAGCTACTGGACACAGCTACACACCATAACTACACATCACAGCAACAGGACACAGCTACACACCACAGCCACACACGTTAGCCTTGAGTCATCTTGCCCTTTGTAATGTGACTCTCGATGTAATGTGACTCTGGATGTAATGTGAATCTAGATGTAATGTGACTCTCGACCGATGCCTAACATTAACCTATAACTTTTTTTTTAACGATAACTTTTTCTGTACATATCTTGCTATAGCAATAAGGCTCACATGTCTAACTATTTTTATAGAGAAAAATCTGTCACCACGCCTACGTGTGAAGTTTTGTAATTCAATTTTACGCCGGATTGGCAATCTGTATAGTTTAGCTCCAGGTTAGCGGGTCTATGGCCATCTGTATAGTTTAGCCCCAGGTTAGCGGGTCTATGGCCATCTGTATAGTTTAGCCCCAGGTTAGCGGGTCTATGGCCATCTGTATAGTTTAGCCCCAGGTTAGCGGGTCTATGGCCATCTGTATAGTTTAGCCCCAGGTTAGCGGGTCTATGGCCATCTGTATAGTTTAGCCCCAGGTTAGCGGGTCTATGGCCATCTGTATAGTTTAGCCCCAGGTTAGCGGGTCTATGGCCATCTGTATAGCTTAGCCCCAGGTTAGCGGGTCTATGGCCATCTGTATAGTTTAGCTCCAGGTTAGCGGGTCTATGGCCATCTGTATAGTTTAGTCCCAGGTTAGCGGGTCTATGGCCATCTGTATAGTTTAGTCCCAGGTTAGCGGGTCTATGGCCATCTGTATAGTTTAGTCCCAGGTTAGCGGGTCTATGGCC